CCTTGTCCTGGACGGCTTTCTGTCCTGCGCCCCTGCGCACCATCAGCAAACCTTGGGCGCAACTGTGCCAGGCCCTGTCTTGCTCCCTGAGAGCCTAGCTCACCGGTCACCTTAGGAAGCCCACTGACCCCGCTCCTGGGACTCCCAAGACTTTGCAGTAGTAACAGCCAAGCGTACCTGGTCCATCGCCGGGTACCGTCCACCCCCAGGTCGAGACCACACGGCGTCGGAACCAAGGCCCCGCCCCCAGCATACCCGCCCCTCACACACCCATGCACACTTGCACACACCCACGCTCCACCCGCACCCCTGCCCACATCCTTGCCCCACTCACACCTTGCACACATCCTACCCTGCACACACTCATGCGCCCACACACGTCCACACCGCGTCCACGCCCAACGCTCCATGCCCTGGCTCACCTTGCACACGCCCCGACACCGCTCCATGCCTGCCCACACCCACCCCTCCACGCCCCACCCCGAACACGACCCCACGTGCCAGGCCTGCCCTGCGCACGCGCCCATACGTGTCCGAGGCCGCCCACCCTCTGCACGCCACGCCCTGGCCCACTCTGCACATGCCCCGCCCTTCCTCCACCTGCCTCAGAGGCTGGGACCGCGGGCGCTGTCCCCTATCAGCTTTATTTGTCACTGCCTGGGGGTTCTCACTCCCTGGGGGCCATAGACCCGCCAGGGAAGAGGAGGGACTGGAATGTCCCACGTAGCTGTGGGGTAGCGTCGGAGATCCGCTCTGGACTCGCGTTCAGCTGAACAAGACAGGATGGCTCCCCAGGGAGTGTCACGATCCAGTGCGCGTACATGGGTTTGTACACGCGCATAGCCCCTTGCCCGGCAGCTAAAAGGGTGGCCATGCGAAAACATCCATAGCAAGGAACACAGGCACCGTGGTGCCACTCTCAGTAAAGGACCGTGAGCTTGTGGAGGAGCTGCTCCTGCCGTGGTGGGGGGAGGGAACGGGCCCGAGCGTGCTTGTGCTGGAGAGCAAGGAAGTGCAAGCCCGCGCGCACACACACACACACACACGTCGGCGCACGGCAATGCACGGAAGTACGTGTGTGCGCACACTTGGGGCGCCCCCACACGCTCTCACGCACACGTGTGCAAACGCGTGCCCACGCCCTCACTCAGCCCCTGCACATGCACACACGCGCCCTCCACGTCCGCACACACGCGCACCCACACAGGCAGGCACGTGCACACACACGCGTGCCCACAGTGAGGGACGTGGCAGCGTACCGCAGAAGGGCCCTGTGTCTGAAGCCACGTCTATTTGGGGAATAGTGGAGTAATGCAGTATTACAGACTGGGTTACAGAGTCCGACCCAGAGTGTAAACTAAATGAATCCATACTGATATACACGATTAAATGAATGAAGGTGGAAGGAAAGGGAACCCTAAAGAGTGTACGCAGCCCCCACCACACAGCTCCCGGCTGCTCAGGACGGCCCCTCCAGAGAGCCCGTGCACCAAGGACGGAGCGTCCGGGCTGGCAGAAGTCCCAGCCTCGGGGCGGCTGGGGGGCTCAGCCACTTGGGCGTCTGCCTTCGCCTTTGACCCCGGGGTCCTGGGGTGGAGGCCTGTGTTGGGCTCCCTGCTCCGAGGGGAGCCTGCTTCTCCCTCTCGCTCTGCCTACTGGTGCTGTCTCTGTCAAGTAAATAAACGAAATCCTAGGAAAACAGAAGTCCCCAGGCTGGTGAGAAAGCTGGCTTGGAGCACAACCACCCGCACCCCCGGCAATGGGGACACGGCAGGAAAGCGTTATCGGAGACGCCTCGCTCCACGGGTACCTGACATCAGCACAGCCAAGGGGGTCAACACAGGTGAGCGGAGGACAGACAGGAGAGTGGACAGGGGGGCCCTGGGGGCACCTGGAGGGGCTGTGAGGGTTAACAACGATCCGATGTCCGGGGTGGAGGGGCTCCAGAACAGGACAACACAGGGGTGCAGGAGGACTGAGCAAGTGTGGGCTTTTGCCACTGAGAAGGTGCCCGATGATGGCCAGAGCGCTGCTGGGGAGCTGGGGGTGGCTTCCCCGCCCCGTCACGGGAGTCCTCCTGTCTGGCAGGCACTTCTCTGGGGGCTGCCACACAGAGCAGGGACTTTGGCTGATGACTCTTGCTGAGCTGCAGGCCCCAGGGAGGACCCTGCCCCCGAGGAGGGGTGAAGGCTGACCCAAGGCTGTCCAGTGCTGCCAGGAGGAGGCCAGGGGGGCTCGGCCACCGGGTGGGGGTGCGGTGGGGGGGCGGGGTGCTAGTTTGCAGGCACCTTAGCTCCGTTCAGATGGCAGCTCCCCCCACAGCTCGGTCAGAGCAAGTGTGGGTGGGATCGCTCTCAGAGGGATCCAGGATCCGGGAGGCGGAAGCCAGGGCCTCGGGGCCGACCAGACTGCCGGGAGGAGGGTGGTGGGCTCTGGCAGGCAGCAGGATGGCCTGCATCCATGAGTGGGCTCTGCATTTGAGCTCCTCTCACCCCTGCGGGGGTCTGAACAAAGGTCCTGGGAGCGGAGGGGGTGTGTAGGGGGTGAGGACCAGGGCCTGCCCAGCCATTTCCTTCCCATCCCTGGCCCGGCTTCCTCCCAGGAGCCCCTCCAGGGCAGGCGGAGCTTCCTCCCACTGAGGTGGGGCCGCCAGACAGGCCCCCCCAGATCTGCAAGGGACCCTGCCCCGGGAACCTCAGGGCACCGTAGGTTCTCCGGCAGAACCTAGCACTGGGTGGCCCCTCATCCACACGCGAGCGCCTACAAGCACCCCGAGGTCAGCTTGGGCCTGAACTTCGAGAGCTCAGAGCCCAGGGCCTGACCCGGCCATGGGACTCCCCCAGCATCTCCCTCTGTTGGCTCTGCGGGTGTCCCATGTCCCTCCCCGGGGCCCTGGACCGCCATCCTGGGGGCCTCAGTCAGGCTCCACCTGGCCCACCTGGCCCAGAGCAGAGGCGGCCCAGTTCTCCAGCCCTAGGTGTGGAGGGCACCCTGCCACAGCCATCTAGCCCACGCGGCTCCCGAGCGCACCGGTCTCCCGCTCGGTGGACGGGGGCTGCCCCCAGGCTGCCCACTGCCTGCCCCTCTCCAGCCCCCTCCTGCTCCACACTCAGCCTGTGGGGTCTGCCCCAGGGAGCCCCCACCCTCACAGGGTCCACATACAGACCCTGGCACGCGCACGCGTGTGCCACGCACCCCCTCCCCCTCGCTCACACACGCACAAGCCCCCCCCCCCACCACACGGGTGCTCAGCAGGGGCAGGATGAACCGGGGAGGTTGGCTGGGCCGGCAAAGCGCTCCACCCTGCAGCCCCGCTCTGCGTCCATCGGGAGCGTGCTCGTCCTGCAGGGGCCAGGTCTAGGGAGGGCGTCGCGGCGCTTCCTGGGGCTGCTGTGGCAGGGAGCCCGGGGGCCCTGGCAGCACCACCATGCAGGGGCCTCCACCCCTCCCCCAACCCCCCCCCACCCCCCCCCCCATGCCCCCCCCCCGTCCCGACCCCCCGCCCCCCGCGTCTGGCGCCCTGCCCGGGGCCGCCCGCCCGCCCACTCACATCTGTGGCACCCTGGGGGCCGCTCCTGGACAGCAGGGGTCTGGTCTGCTCCTGGTGACCCTTGGGGCCCAGACCTGAGCACCTGCGGCCTAGCAGGCACCCCGAGGACTTACGGGAAGGAGCCCCAGGCTGGGTCAGGAGCGGTGCGCCGGGCAGGCAGGTGCACCCACCCTGGTGCGTCTGCCCATGAGTGCGGGGTAGGCCTCCCCAGCCCTCCACAGGGCCGGAACCGTCTGAGGCCCAGCCTCCAGACACACTGCAGCTGCCTGGCCGGACCGGCACAGCTGAGGAGCCCCAGCTGCTGGGGAAGGTCCCCGGTGCACCCCCTTCCCTTCCCGCTCACCAGCTGGCCTGAGCAGCCCCGGGGCCCCACCTCCCCCACCACGCCATTTTGTCCCCTGAGAAGAGAGGGTGGTCCGACCAGGCACAGTACCTGGTGTCCCCCGAGTGCCTCTCCTGAGCCCGAGACCCTGGGCCCACAGACAGGGTGCATTACCTTTGTCCCCACACAGCTGCCCACGCCTGGTCCCCTGGGCAGTGCCCTACCTTTTCCAGGCCAGGAAATGGGAGTCCCTGAGCCCTTCCACCTGCCAGCCGGCTGGACACTGGCCCTCGCAGGGTGTGTGCCTGGCCGAGTCCTGGGCCTGACCCAGGGCCACCTCTCACCACCAAGCACAATGCGGGGGGAGGGCCTTCAAGGGCTCCATTGTTCCCCCCAAGGCCTGGGGTCTGAATTCCCGATTGTCCCTGGGGCTGGACAGGGCCCAGAGAGGGAAGGGGCCTCCCCTACTCGCCCCCCTCCCTCTGCACAGTAGTCTGGGCCTAGTCTGGGCCCGCCTCACCTGCCTTCTGGCCTGGGGGCGGGGGGCATGCCCAGTAACCCTCTGCCGGCTGGTGTGGCCGGCCTGCATCCAGGCCGGGCTCCCACCACCGGAGCATGGCCCGGGCACGGACCAGGGCTGAGGGACAGCCCCTCTCCAACCCTCCACAGTGTCCTCCCTGGAACACAGGGACCGGACCGGGCGCCAGGGGGACCATGCACAAGGCAGAGGACGGCACGCAGCACGATGCAGGGGTTTGGCCTCCCTCCCGGTCAGCAGTGGCTGTCCCTGAGCCAGCCCGGCCCAGGGCAGGGACGGAGCAGGAAGGGAGGGGGCTCCAGCAGGATGAGCTCCGGGTCCCTCTCCCCACACAAGGCCTCAGGGCACCTCCACGAGCCAGTGGGAGAAGCAGCTGTTGTCCAGCAGGCTCCTCCATGCCGACCGGGGCCCCAGCCCAGCTGCAGGGGACCCCCCCCACCCCCGCCAGCAACCAAGGGTCTCCCTGCTGTGAAGACGGGGCAAAGGAAGCCCCAGCAAGTAGAGTCCAGGGAGTCTGGGGGCCGCCGGGAGCGGGGGTCCACTGTGGAGGCACGGCCCCGTCCCCAGCGCCCAGGACAAGATGCCGTGGCTCACGGACACTGCTGCCCAGCAGTTCTTTATTACACCCTGACCCAGCTCCCACGGCAGAGGGGGAAGGGGAGGCCAGGGTCCTCTGGCCGCGGCAGTCTGGGCGCTAGCTGAGGTGAGCGCAGTCCCCAGCAGGGAGTACGCAGCTGCTGGTCCTGCTCAGGAGCGGCTGGTCCTCTGAGCCTTCTTGATTTCCTGCCGTGGACAGAGGAGGAGGGTCTCACCCAGTGCGGGCTGACGGCCACGCGGCCTGCCCACCCCCCCTCCCGCGTGCAACACAGGGCTGAGTCCCGCCCCCTGCGAAGCCCACCTCGGCCAGGGCCTCCTCCAGGGCCCGATAGGCCACGTCCAGGTTGTCGTTGACGATGACCAGGTCAAACAAGCCCTGCTCCTTGCCTGGGGTGGGGGGACAGGGTCAGTGCAGGCTCTGGGGCTCCTCCACGGGGACCCGTGCTGGCTGAGGAGACGGGGGGACACCCGGCCGCCAGGGCCCACACTCACTGCTCTCCAGGTCAACCTGAGCGGCCGCCAGCCGCTTGGCCAGGCTCTCCTCTGTCTCCGTGTTCCGCTGCCGCAACCGCTGCTCCTAAAACACGGAGGAGGGTCAGTGTCTCTGGGGTCACC